GGGAGCTATGTGTTCAAATGAAACTAGTCCAGCCTTTATAACTACGGTGGACCTAGTTCGGTATGTTCCCCCCTTAGCCCTCGGATATTTTGTTTCGTTTTGTTCTCTGTGTGTGTGTAATTTTCCCTCTTTGTCTTCATTCAATTCATCCCAATTTTTTTTAGTTATGAAATCAGTTATTTTAAGTTTGTTTCCATGCTCCTCCTGATTACACTTGTAATCCGTTTAGAATAACCATTTTAAAATTATATTCTAATCCTGTGTAATTTTTTGTTTCTTTGCCTCTTGTTATCTATATTCACACCTCGTAACTTATATTTCAAGTTGAAAATTTTGATTTCAATTTGTTTCCATGCTCATTTTGTTCACACCTGTAATTCGTTCTAACCCTGCGTAACTTTTGTCTCTAAGCCTCTTGTAATTCATATCAAGTTGAAAATTATTATCACCTTCGTTACTATGCGGAATTAAATAAATAATAATTGTATCCATGTAAACTAATGTATATAAATGCGATTGTACAGCTTTTAGGAATGAAATGGCTGAAATGATCGCCATCCCTGCTGCACATTTTGTTCTTCGTCCTCTAACAAGCATATCAGTTTAAACAACCCGAATTATGAAGGATTTCGCATGAATGGCTATTGAATATGTTCCACACATAAGTTTTAAACAGTTGCTTTCAGACTGTGATCAATTCCGTATTCCTGGAACGTAGGACTTCAAGCTGGAGCTCTGAAGTTTGCGTAGCAGTGGTTTTATTAACACGGGGTGAGGTGGCTAGCCTCACTCCCAATCTTCTCTCTTTATCGGCCTTACTACCAAGTTAGCGAGGTCTATGAGTGCCCTGGCCGAGGACATTGGCAAGTTTTCTACGGCTGAACAACCGACGCACCATCTCATATTTCTGAGTATAATACAGAAATTTTTCATTCTCCAGCTAAAATAATTACAACAAGCAGTACTCAGAGTCCTACCAGATAGCAAAGACAGATGTTGACTAAACAAAAAGCCGGGTAAAAGCTTACAGAGTCTTTCTTGCAGTGTAAAATAGTTCATGCTTCCTAATTTTCTATGAATCGTTTATTGACTTCAAACTAATGAAATGACTAGTGCTCAGATAAGCGCTCATTATGACATTAAGTTAGATGGATAGATATCATTAGTTGAGTATGCTTACATGACAATCTTACCTACTCAACTATTATAAGTTAGAATAAGTCATTTTTGGACTACAGCCATAGTCCATCACTGTTCAGGATACAAATGATGAACTTGCTGACAATTCATGGCGGTCATAATATGCTAATACTTCTAAAATTCGACAGCCTATATACATACAATAATTTACGGCATCAGTTAAAGTTCACAGCGTGTCTGAAGCATGCAATTTAGCTTGTTTCAAATAAAATCGAATTCAGCTACTTATATAAATCAAATCATATGCTGATCAGATTGCAACTCTGCGCATTGTCATGACTGAACAAAGCATAGAATGGCAGTCAAACCTCCCCCTATCTCAACTTCATCGACTTCGACAGCGTTGACCGAGAATTAATTTGGAGACTACTTCAACACTACGGCGTACCTCAAGTCATTGTCAACCTCATTCAACAGCTATATGACAGTGGCACATGTCAGGTGATCCACAACAGAAAACTCAGTGAGGCATTCGAAGTAAATACAGGAGTAAGACAAGGCTGGCTGCCTATTATCACCGATGATATTCCTAATAATGGTGGACTGGATTGTGCTTCAGATTGTGCGTTGGGAGTGAAAAGACAGGAATACGCTGCACTGACCGACAAGAAGACTCTAGAAGATCTTCATTGCGCTTGTGGATGATTTATGTTTATTGTCACACAAACTCGAAGACTTGCAGGCGAAAATCAACGAAGTAGGCAAAGAGGCAGTGCAGTGAAAACAGGACTCCAGGTGGTGAAAATAGAGAAGACGCAGGTGATGAAGATAACCAACGAACAGCAGCAGCAACAACAACAACCGGTAGTACCAGTCACCATCAACGGAAGAGATTTAACAGAGACTACTTCCTGCCTTCACTTATCTGGCTATGCAACCAGTATCGTTTCAACTTCAGATGGATTGAATGGATGAATATGTCAAAACCAGTCAGTCAGCCAGCCGGCAAGAATCGGAAAAGCAAGATACGCCTTCATCAACCTGAAATGAGTTTGCAAATCTTCTGCTTCACTCAGCCAGCATGAAGAACAATATTCGGGTTTTTGACACCAATGTCAAGTCAACTCTTCTATACGGGTCAGAAACTTGCACTGCGTGTCACGAAAAAGATTTCTCACAGGCCAGTGCAGACTTTTATCAACAGCTGTCTCCAGGGGCTCCATATTGAGGATCAGATGGCTGGCTGGCAGGCCGGCCAGAAAGAATTAGTGAGAAGAAACTATGGGAATAAACAAACTAACCAAGAACCTACTACTGCTGAACAAATATGTAGGAGAAAATGGCGGCGAATCGAACACACGTTACTAAGGATACTGCTGAATGACATGGCTCATCAGGCCATCACTCGAGTAAAATCCAAATGGGAGGCGACCAGTGGGTCGTCAGTGCGAGGGTGACATGGAGGAGACCGTGTGTTGGAGAGGAGAAGATGAGAAATTATGAACAATCGTGGGCCTATCCAGCCGAAGAGGACAGCAGAAAACAGAACAAAGTGGAGATGTGTTGTTGAAGCCAGCCCTGTGTTCCACTCAGAAGGCAAGAGAATATGAGTAATAATAATGATATAAAACAAAAATTTACTAAGAATTCCCACAGATATTGTTATTCTGTGTACCAACTAATCTCTCATGACAATGTTAGAAAACATCAAAATAGTCATCATCTCAGAATACAGTCTATATTATTATAAAATCAAGCTTAGACTCAAACAATATATTTCAAACTGGATGGAATGAAGTAATGGAGAACGTGAAAAATGGATTATTTTTCGCATTCACTAGAGTTTTTTGCCAACTATTATGTTATTTATGCGTAATGAGTACTGTATCCTCTATACTCCTCTTGAAAACTATTAACTCGAGATGACTTCGAAAGTGGATACTTTGGCTCGGCCACCACATACACACATACGTATCTTCTAGGTGCTATTTTCAAATTGGTTGACAAACTCCTACTGAAAATTATTAATTATCTAGATTTTGCTAGGTTTTTATGTTCGGCTAGTCTGACTGCCCCTGTTCTACTAGTTTGACCCATGTATTTGACTTGAAAATCATTCCAGCAGGGTAGTATTAGATAAACTAAATTGTTTTGTTTTAAAGGCTCCACAGAATTAATCCTCTAACCAACAAAGCTTGTTTCTAATTGAGTTTGTGGGCACCTCGAATGCCACTTTTATTCCTGCCTTGTTAAGAATTCTGCGTAAGGTTTCCAGGGTTCCTTCCTTGTATGGAATTACTACTGATGATTTAGATTCCTCATTGTTGGTGTCGTCATTAATAGGAGAAGACAAAGAAAACTATAAAACTCAAGTTTTGAAGTCGTGTGGTTATAACTGATGATATGATTGTCAACAGTAATAAATTTTGTTCGAAACTTTGTCATCCACTAAATAATAATACTGTTTCACTCACTGTGTGATACATCTAATAAACAAACTAATATCGAACAATTTTACGTCATGAGAAGAAAACTCACTAACAAAACTTAACCTTGATGAACTCAACAACCAATCATAGCAGACTTAACGCGTGCAAATACGATTTACAGGTATATATGGCTTAACTTTCTAAGAAACGGTCGGTCACAAGCAGTACAGAATGACTTTCAGCAAGATAACAACCAATCAGAAGGCGCTACTTCTCCACCGACAATAATATACATAAAAATCTATAAATATCACTTGATTTTCTCAATAAACGATCTATGGCCTGGCTCATGTCTTCTTCCATCGTTACAGTGTGAATAAGCAATGAGTATATAACAGGGTGTGTGTATTTACAAATAAAAATTATTTTAAATTATCATATATGGATAGAAAGTACGTCTGTATATATATATATATATATAATATTTCACAAGATACCTAGAAGATTTATTAAACAATCTGTACAAAATTCTTTTAAAACTATTGAAAATAAGAAGATGTAAAAGAAAAAAGAAATAAAACGAGAGTTGTGTGAAAAACACTTTCACCATCACATAATTTGCTCTTATTTTCATTTTTTTCTTTTAAAACTTTCACCTCACTCAAACTACTCAAGGTGATCAATGTGTTTTGTATATTTTGTTGAATTGAAAATTAAATTCCCTAAACTCCATGAAATGTAAAAATGAGAACAAATACTCACACACACAACTTATCGCAAAGAGAATTCGATAAATTCGATAGCAATCGCCAGCTTCTCAACAACTCAATCATATTTGTATCAGGTTGAGCAGAGAACAGTTGGAAATTTGAGAAAAAAAAGAGTAAAATCAATAAATTTGTACAAACAGTTAGTTGTTTCTGAAAATTTGTAAATTCATCCACAAATATCACATATATATGTGGGTAGACGTAGAGATAACTGAAAACATCGGCGAAGAGCCGAAAGCAATGGAGACGTCCAGCTGAAGCCCAATGTTCCTCTAGGAACTAAAGGAGACAGTATTAATAATAATAATAACAATATATATATATGCATCTCATAGTAGATTAGTACAATGAAACCTTAGTCTTTGGATATTTGTGCTGTATATAAAAATAGGCGGAGCGAATGAATGTACAAGAATTACACGATTTAATGGTTTTATTCACAGTCTGTAGTTTTTACAATTCTAAGGGAGAGTTTTGATAAATAGATAGATAGACAGATAGATAGAAGGGAAGACAGACAAAGAAACACTTTTCATTAAAAAACAAGAAGCCTGGTGTGTGCGTACTGCTGAAGAGTTAGTTGAAAACTTGGCTAACGAAACAGCTGTCTAGTAGTAGTACTCCCAGCTGGTTTTCTAATGGCTCTCTAAGCAATGGCAGGCTCATGATGTAATCCTCTAACCAAAAACAGGAAATTTCACTTTGAAGAGGAAGCTAGTCGTAGGAATCTCGTGTTTCACATTAAAAAAGCGGAGAAAACAGAAAATGAGGGAGAATAAACTGACTGAAACCGTGAAGGATTGAAGCTGTCAAACAGTTAGATATTGTTGAAGAGGATATAAAGCCTCAGTAACTGAGGCTTGTCTGAGGCGACAGATGACACAACATACTTCAACAGATCTATTTTTTTCACTATCACAATCAGCAGAGCAATAAAAATTTTAAGAAAAAAATTGTCTTATTTGAAAATACGATATGTTACATCACAACAACAGGAAGATGATTATTATTACTATTATTACTACTATTACTAATAATGATGGTGAAAATGCCTAGAATCGAGTTGAACTATTCGGATCTGGTCGGGAATAGAATATATCCAGATAATCAGGAAGTGCAGGATTCTCTTGTCCAACAGGATAAACCAATAATAATTGACTATTGCTCTGACTTAAACTATGTACCTAAAAACAAAAAAAATTCAATAAAGATGCAATATTGAATAAAGCATGAACAACAATAGTGGTAGTTTTTGTGTAGAATAAGAGAAAATCGTACCATCATTGTTTATTTCGTTGGCTACTTATCAGCTGCTTACAGCCTAAGGCATACTATTAAGTTTTTGTGTATAGAGACAATATTAACAATACTTACCCAGAGAGTTCAAGTTGAAAACAAAAACTCAGTGTATGCATACAACGGTAATAGTAGTAATAATGATCGCTTTATCCTCAACAATAATAATAAATTTTCAAAAGTTGGTTTGTAAGGATTAGATTTGTTTTTACGAGTTTCACCACGGATTGATATCAGTTAGAGAACCATTGGAAACCAGCACTGGACAGCTGTTTCAACTTAGTTTCGGGAATGACTGGCAGTACGCACCCAATGGGGTTCGAACCCAGGACCTTCCCAAACTAGGATGAATTAGCTGTCCAGTACTCTTTGCTAGTTTTCAATGGTTCTCTAACTGATATCAATCCATGGTCAAACTCGTAGAAACAAATCTAATCCTTACAAACCAACTTTTGAAAATTAATCTGACTTCGTAAAGGACAGAGTTTCCTGGAGTCAGTTTTATTGAGAAGTCGTGACCAGTGAGGTCCAAACATTCAGGTGTGAGGACAGATTTCCCACCGATCACATTGGTTGGTGGTCGCGCTGAATCACGAATCAGTAGAAGTTAGAATTCATGAGCCATTAGCTGAATGGTATACGAGCTCGCCTTGGGAGCAGAAGGTCCTGGGTTCGAACCCTGGGAGAGGGTATTTTCTTACTGCCAATGATTCTCAAACTACTATGAAACAGCTGGCTGTCCAGTACTCCAGTACTGGTTTTCAGTGGTTCTCTAACTGATATCAATCTGTGGGCAAACTAATAGAAATAATAATATTCATAGCGAATAGAATTTTCAGCATTACTTAACCAAATGAAAGAGATAATAAAGACATCCGGTAACCAGAGCAAGGAAAGATTGATGAATCAGTCTTCAGACGTCTAACGGAGATTGCTTAAGCAAACTTGAGGAGAATTCCATTGTGGGTAAAATTTATTTTGATAAAGTCTCACAGAGTGTTGTTATACACAGTAATATTTACTGATGACCACCTTTCGAGCACAATTTATTACTGCAGCTCATAATCATACCAAGGCACTACTCACACAATTTTCAAACTTCGTTCATATAATTCCATTATTTTTCATCGTTTGACTTGATTGGTGGTAGTATTTTCCATATTTCCGGTATGCGTGATGAGTCATTCCTATTACGCATGTTGGATGTAGACTCGATGAAGTTTGTTGCCGCAAACAACCGAGTGTACCAAAGTCATGACACATACTGCGTAATACTTGTCTATTGGTACAAAATGAAAGCTGTTTTAATGAGTAACTTGTAACAGTATTATGTCATTCCACCATTCAATAACAGATTTCACCTTCAATAGTGATAATTATAAGTATAACTGTACGAATTGTATCACCTAGATATCGACTGCCTTCAACTAAGTGACTTCTGTCAATATCACAAGAAGTCTTTCAGAATGATTGAATTCAATCTGGACTTTCCCGTTTATTGATTGAACCGAAGTGCTTGGTCTCAGGTTGTGAGATGTCAGATCCTTGTGCATATGTTTCTATGATGTCAGATTATTTAACTTGAAGTAAATTATTGGTGGATGGTGACTAGCAGTGGAATCCAGGATAATGGGCATTTCGTCCTGTTTGGGACTCGTCAGCTAGTGCATGTCATGGTGTTCCCAATGATACCCACCGTGAAAGGGGTCTAGTAGATAACGCTTTCGCGTTTGGAACTATGGACAGTAGGTTCGAGCTCCAGTGGAAACACCATCATTAACTCACTAGGGAATGCAGGTAAATCCAGATGACTAGCCAGTCCCAAACAGGAGAGAATGCGCATTCTGGATTCCACTGTTAGTCACCATCAACCAATTTACTTCAAGTTTTCAAAATGTTGCATGATTTGCCCTTTCCTCTCCACATATCTTGTTTAGGCTTATCTAACTTGTTCGCTAGATATTCCATGTAGATTTTGTGTCGATAAAAACCTTGAAAAACAAAATAATTGAGCAAAGAATATCCTTTTCGATAATTTCCTCCTCTTCTGGCTCTACAATTATATATACATATATGTTTATATACATAGAATATTCTAGAATAGTAGTCAATAACAATATTAGTGTTTTTTAAATAATATCGATTTGTTAATTAAGATCACAGTGGAATTACCACAGTTCAAGAAAGATGCATAAATTATAATAATAATAAAAATATAATAGCGAATAGAATATCAACTAAAATTAAGGAAATTTCTACAAAAAACTGAGGATCATTCGAACCTAGATGGCCGGGATGGTAAGGACAATGTCTGAACTAGCTTCTTCCTTTGGACACATAAATTAGGCTTCTTAATTAAGGTGGATCCCAACAGCCAGCCTCAGCAATATTTAGTAAACGAACTCTTAAGGTGAAGTTAAAATTTGTTGGTATGTGGTAAATGACATCGAAAGCAACCTCGTTACATCAATCTTGTATTCTGTATCCCCAAGATGGGATAGAATAGCTCTACGAATAGATTTTGTTTGTCCTTTACTTAACCACTATACAAGGGGATGTTCGGAAATCCGACGAGAAACACGCCTAATTGTACGGTCTATGTAACTGGCTCCACAGGAGCAGTTAAATGGTAGATACACATGGAAGAGGCGAAATTAGGTAGTTTGTCTTTTACTCCCGAACGTAATTCGGCAGCAGGGAATGCTCTTTTCACTGCATTTCTAAGGCGCTGTGTTAGTATCTCGCTGATGTTGTCCCCAAGGAACTGAATTTGTAAGAATAAGGCCTTTTTAGGAACTGTTGGTACCTTGGCCTGCCTTGATTTTAGATTCATATTCTTATCAATAACCTTTTCTGGATAACCATTTTCACTCAGCAACCGCTTAATATTATTAAGTTCCTCATCAAGACATTCATTCGAGCAAATTGCTCTTGCTCTGTGGAGGACCAAGCACTTTATCAGACTGCGTTTTTATTTCAAGGGCACGAAGCTGAAAAAATGAGTATACTGACAGACAAGTGATGTAGATTTTCTAAATACACTTTTTGTTATTGTGCCACCCTCTTTTCTTGTCATAAGGACGTCTAGAAATGAAATACTAGAGTCCTTTTTCTTTCTCTTGAAGTTAATATTCCTTCCTCCCTCCCTCGATAAACAAAGTTTATCAAAAGGAGCAAATATGGTTGTGACAATAAAAGCCGATTTATCAGAAACCATAGTAACTTGTTTTTAGTATTCACCATCGTCAATAGTAAAAAAAAGTTACTCATTATTCAGTACATAAAAAAATGAATTGTACTCACAGAATAATACTTTACTAAATCTCTTAAATCGGTGAATTGTTCTGGATTAGCAACTCCAAATAATTGATATGTACTTTTACTTAAAGCACGATTGGACGTCTGATTGTTATTACTATTATTATAATTATTATTTGTCTGTTGTTGTGTTGCAATCACCGACACGAGGAAATGATCACAATATGAGGAGGTGTATACACTTATCACATAACCTGGAAATGATTCATTTAAGTGTAAAAGGAAACTGCCTCTTCTGTCGGTTTGAGTTAATAAGCGTTCCGCTTGCTCTCGAGAAAGTATTCCTGAAAAATAGGTGAACAGAGTTACAGGCATACACAAAAAATAATGTTGATATAAATATTTGTTAAAATTGATTTACAACTATTAAGAATTATCAGCTCCAACACCTCTAGTACACCCGAACACTGAAGTTACAAGTGAAACATAGGGCTTGAAGTTCCGGTAACACTGGTTTCATTTTCACGGGGTGGGGTTGTTAGCCTCACACCCAACCTTACCTCTTTACCGGCTTAGCGAGGTTTAGGAGGGCGTCGGCCAAGAATTGATCCCAGACCAAGCGAGTGGCTGGTGAACGTTCTACCGGTGAACCACTGACACCGAGTGTTGAAGTTGGAGATTCAAAATCTGTTGCTGGATTTTGTTTATACTTAAAACACAATCTCTCTATACATTAAGCAAAGAGAATGACATTCCGTCAATATTAGATAAACCACGTGGAATAACAACAACGTGAAAACTCACTTGCTGAGTAGATTAATATTCCACATTAGTTCATTTATTAGATATATCACACAGTGAGTGAAACAGTGTTATTTACTGGATGACACAGTTTCGAACAAAATTTATTACCGTTCATAATCATATCGTCGATTATAATCACACGACTTCGAAACTTAAGTTTTATAGTTTTCTTGGTTCTCTCCTATTTTTCGTGGGGTAGCAGAATTTTCCAGATATCCGTGTGGACAGGTGTTGAATCATTCCTATTACACGTGTTGATTTGCAGTTGATTCGATAAACAAAGCTTCTGTGGTGAATGCTACTTATAATCCGATATAAGTAGTATATCAGGAACGAAGTAATAACATGTTTGGCACACCGAAAAGAGCAATCAAAGAAGAGAACCATGAGGAGAATGTTGCCATATGATGCAGAATCCAAGAAGCTATCGAATGAGACGATATTCGATCAATTCGTCAAGGATGTGGTGAAGATGTGCAAATGGCCGGTTTAGAATATGGTATTCCAAATTTAGCTAATGTACCACACGTTTCACCAAATAAACATTCCTTTCGGTCTCCTCAGTCTTGTCTTCTTTACACTTCTGCTATCAATCTTACCCTATACCCGATGACATTAGATTTTAAAACTGTCATCCTATCCCATCCTATTGTGTGGCTGGTTGTGTGTGATTGCACGTAGTGCTATAGCTGAATTATTCTCTAGATTTCTTATCTTATTTGGGTCAACCAATCTAAATTTTGCTATGTTTTTATGTTCGGCTAGTCTGACTGCCCCTGTTCTACTAATTTGACCTATGTATTTGACCTGACAGTCATTGCAGGGTATTAGATAAACTAAATTGTTTTGTTTTAAAGGCTCCACAGGATAGATCCTTTAACCGACAGAGCTTGTTTCTAATTGAGTTTGTGGGCAGTTTGAATGCCAACCACTTTTACTCCTGCCTTGTTAAGAATTCTGCGTAAGGCTTCCGAGGCTCCTTCCTTGTATGGAATTACTACTGATGATTTAGATTCCTTATTGTTGGTGTTGTCATTAATATTATTATTATTATCACTATTATTATTATTATCATTATTATTGTTATTAGTGATATTAGTAGCGATAGTGATAATAACAATAATAATGATTATAATAATAATAGTGATAATAAGAATAATAATATATTAATAACGTCATCCAGTAAATAATACTGTTTCACTGTGTGATATATCTAATCAACAAACTAATATGGAATTACTTGCTACCACAGTGCCCAAGTTTTACACATACATTAATAGATCGATATTCATTTTGCCTTAGATATTTCGACTTATCTCTGCTTAAGATAAAATTTACAAAGTCTCAGGGTTTAAAATATATTTGAAATATTTTCTATTTAGAAGGACAGAAATTAGAACTACATCCATAAAAGTACCTAGCGCTTTTTTATCTCTGAACTAATCTTCTTTAAGTGCATATACTAGATCAAAGTATTGGATAGGTAGGATAAAGGATTTCATCATAAGCTGACATCAGTTATAGAACCATTAGAAAGCTGGCACTCCAGTTCTAGATAGCTGTTTCGACCTGGTTTAGGACTTTTCGGTAGTATGCACCCAACCTCTTGCCAGGATTCGAACCCACCACCTCCCGGTTACAAGTCAAGCTCCTAGACCACTCAGCCACTAACACCCGATCCAATGACCAGTCCATGAATTCCAACTTCTGCCAATTCCAGCACGATATGCCGCTACTGGCACTAGCCAGTGTCATCGTTGGCGAGTATTTGTCCTCATACCCCGACCTACTGTGCCTGCCCCACTGGTCACGACTTCTCACTAGAATCCAGGCAACTACATAGTGATCAAGAGTCCCAAACTAGACTGACGAAACAGCTGTCTAGTATTCGAGTGCTGGTTTTCCAATGGTTCTCCAACCGATGTCAGTTCATGATGAAATCCTGTAGCCAATCAGATCCCTGAAAACCGACACATGAATATTGGAGAGATGGCTATTTCCTATAAAAATGATTGTTGTCTGTTGTTGAGGTTCAGAAGGAAGGTGTCAGATTTAAACACTTAATTAATGTTGGCGATTTCATTGGTTTCCATTAGAAAGTCTCCACCCTCGATACAAAATAACAGATATTATCAACAAGTGACTTGGTATTACAGTGCAACGATTCAAAGCGACACACTGAAAATCTTCACACCTGTTGGATGTAGGCAGGTGGAAATCACAAAAATCTGAGGATGTGAACGTCAAATGTCATAATATAATGTGAGATAAAAATGGCAAAGCAAATAAAATGACAGGAATCAGCTTAAAATAGATATCGTCTCATGATTCATCGTATGATTGCATGATTGTAAAATTCCATCATTATTTCTCACCTTGGTCTTGGTCGAATCGTCAACCAATCAGAATATTCAGTTTTTGCTGATCTATCCGAATAGCCTACCAATCAGAACGATGTATTTTCTACTGCCCTAGGCCGATTGTAATGTGGTTAAAAAAATAGAAATATGACGTGTTTTTCCTAATAAAATTCGTATCCTAACTGTCACGTGTCAGTCTTTGTCTTTGGATATGTACGTGGCTCAGTGAAGCGGGAGATACTACCACAGATGAATAGGCGAATTTAGCATATCGCTTGAGCTGTCCATCGGTGTCGTTATTATTATACCCACCAGAAGTTCACTCGATCATATCAACTGTCAACGCAATCATGTCATTTAGCGATGAGATCATAACATAAAGAAACATAATAATCAAATCAGTGTTAAGTGAGAAGACAGTTAGTTATCAAAGGTCTAAACATATTATCTGATATCTTGAAGACAGTTAGGAAATATAAGTCTCCACAATAATGAGTAAGTAGATAGATAGCAGCAACACTCATAATTAAACAGAGATATTTCTATAATGGATTTAGGGGGGGGGGGAAACTTAGATTAATTTCCTCAAGAACCAACGTCAGTTAAGTAGAATCGTCTAGAACCATAGAGAGAGCTCTGGACAGCCGTTTCATCCTAGTTTCTATGCACATCTATAGCCTCACCAAGAACCGAGCGAGGAACAAAGTTAAAATCCTGGCCTAAGTGCCTGAATGGTCAAACAGCTTGGCCTCAGCACCTGAAGATTCCTCGTTTTGGTATCTGGTTGGATCCAAGGGTGCTGAAGAGTCTCCAACAATGAGTCCATCAAAAAACACACATATTCTTACTGGTAAAAATCTAACTTACCGTGGAACCATTCAGGTACTTGTGAAAATGCTAGCGAGGATAAATTTGGACTAAATCCAGTTATTGGTAATCCAAAATCAATAAGTAGTCGTGAAGCTTCAAATTTTTCAAACCATCGACAAACTTTAGTTCTTGAATCATCTTCATATATATTGAAGGCTTTACGGGAACTTCTAACATCTGGTGTCCAAAATCCAGGCTTTGGAAGTACTAATGGAGCTCGATCACTTTTATAGAGACTTGAATTCCAGTAACCTGAATACGGAAATATTTGAAAATCGATGTGAATGTATATGTATTAAATCATGGCAAATATGACATGAGAAAGGTAATATAACAAACATGTATAAATAATCCACTGAAATTCAGAAAATGCAACTTTTTAAATATTTTTATTTAATTCCATCCTACCACTTCTCCAAAACACCTAGAAAGTTTTGACTTCAGTCTTTTTTATATAATTTTTTAGCATTCGCTTGGGTTCCGACTTAACCAAAGGGCTTCAACAATACATCTCCACTTTGTTCTGTTTTCTGCCGTCCTCGTCATCTGGATCCACGGCTGATCATAATATCTAGTCTCTTCCACACATCGTCTCCTCCGTGTCACCCGCACACTGACGATCCACTCGTCACATCCCATTTGGATTCCACTCGAAGGCCTGGAGGGTAATGTCATTCGGCGGCCTGATCAATGTATACCCGATCCGTCTCCACTTCATCCTACACATTTGTTGAGCGATCGGCTCTTGGTTGGCTTGTTCCCATAATTTCTTGTTACTTGTTCTTTCTGGCCATTTGGTTTTCGGTAAGGAGCGAAGGCAGCCGTTGATCAAAGTCTGCACTGGCCTGTTGAAAAACTTTTTCGTGACACGCATTGCAAGTTCCTGACCCTTTCAGAAGGACCGACTTGACACTGGTGTTGAAAACCCGAATCTTGTTCCTTATGCTGACAGAGCGCCGAAGATTTCCATACTGGTTTCAGGTTGATGAAGGCGTATCCTGCCTTTCCGATTCTGACTTTGACATCTTCGGCCGTTCCGCATGTAGTTAAGACGATGCTTCCCAGGTAAGTGAAGGAGGCAACCTGTGCTAAATCTCTCCCATTGATGGTGATTGGCGCTGATCGTTTTTGTTGCCGTTGATTGGTTATCTTCATCACCTCCATCTACTATGTGTTCACCTGCAGTCCTGTCTTTGCTACCAGTTTTTTGGTTTCCTCTTGCAAGTCTTCGAGTTTGTGTGAAATTAGAAATATATCATCTGCGAAATCCAGATCTTCTAGAGTCTTCTTATCGGTCGTCCAGCATATTCCTGACTCCTAGCCCACAACAGTCTGATGCATAATCCAGTTCAACACAATGAGGAATATCATCAGTGATAATAGGCAGCCAGCCTTGTCTTACTCCTGTATGCCCTTCGAACGCCTCGATCAGTTTTCTGTTGTGGATCACTTGACAAGTGGCATTGTCATATAACCAGCTGTTGAATGAGGTTGACAAAGACTTGAGGTACGCCATAGTGTTGAAGTAGTTTCCAAATTACTTCTCGATCTACGTTGTCGAAGACTTCACTACTGATGAAGAAAAACTCATATTTATGATTTATGTTTATTGAAACATTTGCAACATCATGAAATATTTAAGTTGAGGCAAAGATAAACTGCCTAGACTATTAATTAGAGTTTTTTTCTAAACCGTCAACAGTACTAATTACATTAAATTTTCAATTTATCAACTACCAAAAGTGGTGTACTGAATTAAGGGCTCAGATTTATTATAAAATACTTATTGTAATCGAAGGACACGTCTACCTGGTGTCTGATGATAATTTTATTATTATTATTCTTTTGGGTTTCAAGTGAATCAAAGGGCTTCAACAAAACATCTCCACTATGTACTTTTCTCTGCCGTACTCTTCATCTCGATTCACGATTGATCATAATCTCATATATCTTCCTCACATGGTCTCCTCCATGTCACCCCTGCACTGACGACCCACTCGTCGCTTCCCATTGGGATTCCACTCTGTGTATTGCCTGACCCATCATTTCATAGGACATTCTCCTCAGTGCATGCTCAATCTATCTCCACTTTCTACTGCATATTTGTTGACTTTTGTTTCGTCACGTTCGTCACTAAGAATGTCTGGTTATTTATTTTGAATGTTTTTTTTCCTCCCCCGGAGGCTATTGATTGAGTTTTTTTAGGGTCCCCCACTTCTCCCTTTGTGAAGGATCGTCGGCCGGGGATCGAACCCCGGCCCGTGTGCATGGTCAGCGTGCGTCCTAACCCTATGCACCGACGCACTATTTTGAATGTGATTACTCAAAAATATAATCTGAAATGCGTTTAGCTATTGTCAGGAAAACAAGGAGATATCGAAAGTGTTCATATCACAAAGAGTTAAAAGATGTTTAGCTGAGCTACACCTAGTTATCTTATGCAGGCCACTTGAAAGCTCCTCTAACCGCATTTTTCAGACTCTGGGTTACTATTTCGCTGATATTATCACCAAGGAACTGCAGTTTTTGGGACAATAGTTTTTTTGGAGCTGTTGCTGGTTTTGGTACTAAAATCATGTTTTTCTCGATGAACTTATCTGGATAACCATTTTTGCTAATTAATTCTTTAATAATTTTAAGCTCCTCATTGAAGGAGACTTTTACACAGATTATCCCAGCTCTATGAACCAGACACTTTACTAAATTCAATTATATTTCAAAGGTATAAAACTCAAAAACTGAGTGTACTGACTGGTTGTTGTAGGTTTCCTATACACACTCCTTCTTAGTGTGCCATCTTCTTTCCTTACCAGGAAGACATCTAGGAATAAGATACTATCCCTACTTTCTTTTCCCTATGGTGAAGTTTATTGCTGAATGCGCATCATTAAACTTGTCGAGGGTGTTCATTGCTTCGCTCTTGTTTTCCATAACCAGAAATGTATCATCCATATATCGACAGTAGAATTCCAACTCATTAATTACTCCTTTCAGTGACCTATTCTCTAACTAAGCGAGGAAGGAAAGAGTCAGCTAGAACTGGACTTAATGGAGAACCCTTAGCTACACAGTGAGTTTGTCTGTAGTATTCCTTGTTGAATAAGAAATGAACATTCATTGTACACCTTAAAATAAGTTCAGAAGAAATTTGTATAGCCACTTTGCCTTACCCTGGCCATTGTTACATGAATGTAAAAATCTCTTTATAAGCCTTTTAAAATTTATAATTATGCAAATAATTTTTTCCTTTAATTACCTATTACGTAATCAGCTTGAACACTTGTTTGTTCCTTAATTGCTCTTCATTATTCCAGAACTGTGTATTATGTAATAACTACTTTTTGCTACCACTTCTACCTTTTAGTTGTGTGCATTAATTTTATTCGTTAGGTATCACCCGCTTGATATGCTGATAGTGACTTATTATTTATCAAGAGTTTGTAGAAATTTGATTTGTTTTTATAGTTTGACCCCCGGAATGATATCAGTCAAGTACTCAACAACTCTTTCGTCGGCCTAGTTTGCGATACATCACCAGGAACTTCCAGTTACACGGCAAGCTCGCAAACCATTCAGCACTGGCACCTTACTCCTCAATCGCCACCAGCCATCGTCATCAGCAAATATTTGTCGTCACTCCCAACCTGGTGGTGGACCCTTCCACTTATTACGACTTCTCACTAGAACTCCAGGAAACTCTGCCCTGTAGCTAGTCAGTATCGAGTCACGTCCCAGTGGCTGAATGGTCTACGAGCTAGCTTGCCTTGTAAGTGGAAGGCTTTAGGTTCGAGACCCAGTGGATGCAAACTCCCGATGAGTCTCACACTGGGACGAAACAGATGTTCAGTTCTGCCTGGTTTTCCACTGGTCCTCTAACTGATATCAATCCGCGAGCAAACTTGACTAATTATTGTTAACTGACATATCACCACTTGCTTGGTAAAATGTTGTGTATTGTATTAAAGATGCTATGCATATTACAGTAGAGCCAGAGATGTGGATCTAATTGAAAAGTAAATATTTCTTTATTATTATTATTGTTTCCTTTAATTCCCAGAGGAACATAGGGCTTCAGCCGTGCGTCTCCATTGCGTTCTGTTCTCTGCTAGAGTCTTCACCTGGCTCCAAGTCTGCCAACACGTTTTCATCTCCTCTTCACATGACCTCCTCCAAGTCATCCTTGCACTGACGACCAACTCGCCGCTTCCCTTTCGGGTTCCACTCAAGCAATGGCTTGTCTAGTGATGTCACTTGATGGATTCCTCAGAGTATAGCCAATCCATCTCCATTTCTTCCTGCCTATTTGTTTCACAATTGGTTCCTGGTTAGTTCGCTCATTGCCAGAGATCCCTGTTGCTGATCTTTTCTGGCCATCTGATCTTGAGTACTGAGCGAAGACAGCTGTTAATGAAGGTCTGTAGTTTGTTTGAGATGCTCTTTATGACGCGCCAAGTCTCTGATCCGTGAAGTAGCACTGACTTCACATTGGAGTTGAAAATCCGGATCTTATTTTCATTTTCATGCTGAGTAGTGCTGTTGACCTCCACACAGACTTGAGAGTAGTGAAAGCTTGTCTTACTTTCCCGATGATTCTTGCTTTGATATCCTCGTCATTTCCGCCTGTAGTTGAAACGATGCTTCCAAGGTAGGTAAAGGAGTTTGTTTCTTTCAGGTTCCTCCCATTTATGCTGATTGTTGTCTGTTGTTGTTGTTGCTGTTGGTGGTGTTTCCCAGGAATCTTCATCAACTCTGTTTTCTCTATGTTCACCTGAAGTCCTATCTTTGATGCTTCTTCTGCGAACTTGTTGCTTCTCATCATTTGCATATCTTCCAGTTTGTGGGAAATCAGACATATATCATCGGCTACAGAAACTTCAGCACGATGAATCTCCTTGCGCCAAATATTTCTTTGCTCAACCCTGAAAAGAATCCTCCTTGAAAACGGTTACCCGGAACGTTTCATCACAAAAGCCATGAAGCCCAAAACACAAAAACCGTCCATGCTTACTGCTCCCAAGAAACTCCTCTATTTGAATCTACAATTCAACGGAGATTCTTTAGCAGAAATACTGAGAAACCGCCTGCGCCGTTCACTGAAGAAAACCTTCTTCGCAGCTGAACTCAGACTAACTTTCTCTATGAAACCAATGATTCGCACGAACGTGAAGGATAAGCTTCCACTGGGGGCCTCATCGATGTGCATCTATCAATTCACCTGCTCATGTGGAGCTAGGTATGTTGGCCGTACCCAGCCCTTGCTATCCAAAAGAATCAGAGAACACTTACCTTCATGGTTTGTAAAGGAGAAATAAGATCCCCCCGCCACAGCTCTATCCTAGAACACTTGATCGAATCCGGACACCAAGCAAACCCACAAAACAACTTCTCAGTTATCCACACAATACGTGGCAATCTTGCCAAAAGAGTACGAATTAAACTTCTTCAAACTGTAGAAGCAATGGCAATTCACATATTGAATCCTGAACTCTGCATACAAAAGAAGTTTGTTCAGTCACTAAATCCACAATGGTCCTAATCTATCTTAACACCAAATACGTAATTTTGCATTATTTTCTACCCCCACCCTCTATTAAATCTATACCCTCATGACGACTGTTGCTAACTCCATTTTCATTTATTTTTAAGTGAATTCTACTCAGCTTATCAACTTAACTCTCATTCATTTTCAAGTGAATTCTACTCAGATTATTAACTTGACTCTCATTCATTTTTCATTGAAACCTAGCAATTAGATTACGTCACCCAACCTACTTTTGTAACTTTATTTTAGTTTCTAACTGATTAACGCCTTCTAAGTTACGTAATTTGTTGTCAAAAATTAACAATTGCATGAACACATCTTTGGAAATATTCCTTTTGTTGCCAAGAAAAATTACTATAAATTTGCGGTTTGTACAGCTTGAGAATGATATCGCCGAAAAGAGTAACTCTTTGCTGAACGCCTTTTCTTTTCTATGACTGAATGGGAATTTTCAAATTATTTTACATATTTACTGATCTATGTTATGAATTAATACTAAAATTTCATCTTACTATAAAAGTTAAATTCATATATATGTAACTGAGTCAAATTTTAAAAAAATATAAAATTGATCCAAAAAACTTACTTGTATTCCTATTCTCTTCATCTGACGAAATATTCTGTGATTTTACAGTTGAAATATCTCTGATAACATAATTATTATTATTACTATTTGGTGTAATAATTCGTTGGTTGTGTTGTTGGTGCTGATGTTGATAAGCTAAAAGAGGTGTAGCTTGATGTCGCAACTGTAATTCACTGCGTTGACTGAAACTTGCATTGGATCGATTATAAGGTGCAAACGGTGTCAGTGTCCATCGATTTCTACCATCATCACCATCACCGTTATCACCGTCAACATCCTCATCATCATCGCCAACATTCTCATTCACCAAAGTCTTCGAAGGCAATGAAAATGAAGTTACAACATTGTGATGTTGACTTGTCGCAGTTGTTGATGTTGTTGTTGATGGTGCTGTTGCTGACGTTTTATTTTTATCATTCGCGAAACCAACCCTACTCAATTGATTCGACTGTATTCTTGTATTTGATGATAACAGCACAGAATCAAGTGGTGTTCTAGTTTTATCATTTAAATTATTATTAGTGATTAAAGGCGATGGTGGTGCACTGTTCGATGTTGTTGTCAGAATTGATGGACTACTGGCTGGACTTCTTGCTAGAATGAATCGTTTCAACGATTTACTTGTTGATGGAGACATTGGAATAATATCACAGAAGGAGACATCACTGTCTTGCACACATTCTCTCTGCTTGTTATTATTATTATTACTATTACTATTACTATTATTGATGTTCTCATTTTGATTAGGATACATTGTTAATTGAAAGGTATTCGAACCTCTTGAATTATGAAGGCTAGTATTATGAATATTAGTAGTGTTAGTACGATAATAATTAACCGCCTGTTTTGGTTTCTCTATGCGGTAATTATCACTTTGAGTACTACCAACAGAATTAGCACCATTAACACTACTAATACTACTATTGTTAACCGCTTTCGACAGAGTATCACTAGTATTACCGTCATCCACGTTGTTCCTAGTGTTATTGCTGTTATTATTACTACTGTTATTCTTATTGTAAGGTGAAGCAGTTACAATAACTGTAGAATTATTCAATGTATTATGATATTTATGAATGATATGAGTATTGTTCGGCTCATCATGATAGATATAATTGATTTTATTACTTTTAATATTAATCTTATCGTTAGTGTTTATGGTAACTTCGTCTTCATCGTCGTCACTGTCGACATCATCAGCATCGCCATCATCGTCATTATCACTGTCATTATAGACACAGTTAACATTTCTCACATTATTCCTATTGTCGATATTGATACTGGTATTATTATTTCTGTTCGCATAGGTTGATGATTGTCCCGATGATGAGAAATCAATAGCATTCGACTGTCTACTTCGTATGATTGTTGTTGTTGGTGGTGGTGGTGGCGAGACAATAATTGTTGAATCTTTCTTGGAAGTATTATTATCCTCGTGTATTGATGATGTTATAATTGAGATATAATGTCCACTTTCTTGTCCCGGATGTATTGTATTGGTATTTTCACGATTAACATTGATATTTGTCTTAGGGCTACTACTATAATACTACTACTATTATGGATATAATTAGTAGTATCAGTAGCCGTAGGAGTAGAATTAGTTTGAGATGATGATGATGATGATAATGCTGAGGAGGCGGACGAACAGGAGGGGGAATTCAAATGATGATTAACTGAACGTTGATTATTCATATTTGGACTACGTGTGAAAGGTGTTGGTGATAAGAGAAAGGCATCTGTACTTGACGACGGGTGTTTTTGTTCATCACGATGTCCAGACACTGGATAATTTGGTATGATCACCAGCGTTTCTGATATACTTGAATTTGTTGTTCTACTTGTTGATGTACTATTACAACTACTACACTACTATTTATTGAGGAATTTGTTGATGAAACAGTTGATGAATTCGTGTATGATGAAGAATCACATGTATACGATGATGAGTCGTAGGATTCTGAGACAGATGAGTCAAATTGTTTTTGATTGATATGCGGTTGAATTAATCGAATGCTATTTTCTGGATACTGTAATGTGATAAACAGTGTAGAAGTTAGCAACAACAATAACAAAATCAATAACATAACTGTTATATATATCAAATGGTGAAGAAGTCACCTAAACACTAAGTAATCAGTGCTACTTGTCTTTTTGACAAGTAAGCAAACTTTATTGATTTCACTAGTGTTCTATTAGATGGTTGGAGGCAATCAGCAGAAAACCCTGCCTTTCCCAGATTTCGGGCTTGTTGGCACTTAACGGTCAGCAAGGAGTATCTACACCCTTGAAGGGATAGCTCGGTGGTAACGCGTCTCTCTCTCGCTGACTTCAGCACTGTGTGGTTCAAATCTCAGGAAGGATATGAGTGCCTTCAAGGCGGTTACAGATACGCCTTGCTAACTGACTGTTGAGTGTCAACAAGTATGAAATCTAGGTGGTGTCCAAGGCTTCCTGTCGATTTCCTCTAACCACATAATATCAAGAATTTACAGTGTACCATGAGCCACCTTGCCTAACATGGTGGCCACATTACAAACTCAATAGGCATGATTCAGTCTACACCAAACACAGGACTAGGTTCATGACACCAGTTAATTAGTGTCCTAGTAAGTGTGTGGTGAGAGCTGTCTGCTAGCCAAATCGGTAGAAAGTAATTTACGTCAATGTTTACGTCCCAAATCTTGGTCAGGAGAAAAGAACAAGAACAAAGACTAACTCAGCAACCAATCACAGCACACTTTGCGTAGGCGGATACGATTACCAGATTTATGGTCTGACCTTCAAAGAAACGGCCAGAAAGAGATGACAGATTAATTTTCAGCGAGAGAGCAACCAATCAGAAAACTCTGTTTCTCTGCTAACAATAGCCTGTAATAATGGTACATAAAAATCTATAAATATCTGTTGATTTCTTCAATAAACGGTCTGTTGTGTGGCCCTTGTCTTCTGTTGTTATAAGTGTGGCTTATTAGAGTAGAATATAATTGAAAATATTTCCCACTTTGAATTGTTTCTTGAAATAAACGATTGTGCGCTGTTACGCCACAACACAGTCTCTACAATTTCTTCACGATTTACCATTATATTATTGGAAACAAACTGTTATTGCAGGATATATACATTATCCGGTCATGACTATGCAAGACAGTAGTATGAAATTACACTGATAAAAAAATCTAACTAACACCAAATTGTTATTTTCAGGATTGTATTATAAGCTGACATTGATGAGAGAACTATTGGGAAACCCTGGTGGGTAAGCAATAGTGAACAGTCGAAGAGTAGGCTGATGAAACAGCTGACTGTCGTCCAATGGTTCTCTAACCAATGTCAACTCATAATGAAATCTTGTAATCAATCAAATCAAATCCCGGCAAACCAACACTTGAAGAAATGGCTGTTTTTTAATTGTTGTTTTGTTTTTGACGAGAACTGTTCTCACAGTTTTAATCACTAAAGCATAACACAACATATACGAAGAAATAGCTCCAGATTCATCATTTGTCATTGTTTTTTGTTCCTTTTAGAGAGCAAAGTGTTTTTATTACAACTCTAGTTTTGCAGATCGTATTCTGTTTGCTTTTTTTAAAAAATTTTATTTTACTAGTATTTGGTCGATCTCAAATACACTTAAGGGATGCCTTTAAAACTGAGTAGACAAAACTACTGTTAGGTTTAAATTGATATTATCAACGAGAGAAGACTTGGATATCACTTAACAGCCTTCTGAACATCTATCATAAGTATAAAGACTTAGATTGACGAATAGGAGTTTAAAGCTATTCTATACCTAATGCTTGATTAGGAAAAAATATGATTTTGTTAATTAACTACTGTTATCCAAATTAATTTTATGTCGCTAATAGTCGAAGTGATTTTAAATCGGCGTACTTATACTATGAGTTAACCTAACCATAACACACTTCAGCGACTCAGAGATTGACTTGCTACCAGGGAATAATCTCGTCGACGTAGAATATGCAGACGATATAGTCCCCCCTCCTAGGTGAAGACTCTGACAAAATGCAGAGTCTTCTGAACACCTTGAGCAACAATCTTCGTATGTTTGGCATGCGATTCCCCCCCTGTAAAATGTAAGATGATGCTGCAGGATTGGACTTCACCGACCCCTAGATTAGAAATAGGAAGTGAAGTGGTAGAGCACGTTGACCACTTCACTTATTTGGGAAGTACCATCAACCCCAACGGGTTGATCGCCGACGAAATATCAGCACGAATACAGATTGCTAGTTTCGCATATGCCAGTTTACGCCGTCTCTGGCGTAGACGTGATATCCGACTATCGACCAAAGGGGGTGTGTACTGCTCAGCAGTCCGCTCCGTCCTCCTCTATGGCTGTGAGACCTGGCCATTGAGAGCGGAAGACGTGGAAAGATTGGCTGTCTTCGATCATAGGTGCATGCGTTTTATCTCCCGTGTAAAGTGGTGTAACAAAGTGAGCAATATTGAGCTGAGGCATCGGCCGAATGCTAGGTAAGGAAGGGAAATCAGTCGACGAAACTGTGAAATTACATCGACTGAGATGGTTAGGACATGTGCTACGTATGCCTAGTCATCGCCTTCCTCGACAATGGGCAATGTTAGCTGATATAGGGCCAGGCTGGAAAAGAGCTAGTGGTGGTCAAACGAAAACATGGCACCAGTCAATGAAATCCACAACAGTTAGTCTAAGCCACGTAGGAAGGTGTAGACTTCCTGGTTGGGGTCCTCGGGACGGTAAAAAGCAATGAAGGCTGGAGACAATCGGTGACATGTCTCAAAATCGTTCTCAGTGGCGCAGATGCATCCACTCCTTGTGACTTATGATTTCCAATGAAACTGTTTTGTTCTCCGTTATTACTATTCCTTTGTCTCACATCTCTGTTTACTGTCTTCATTATGCATTTCTCCTCTTGCTTCGTGTGCTACATGGATTGTGGCGACTTGAACTGCCGCACATATGTGCAAAGTTCTATGTCGAATACCGACCGACTGACCGATTAGTTAACCTGGAGCAATAAAAAGACTCTAGAAGATATGCACTTCGTGTATGACTTATGTCAAATGTCACACAAACTCGAAGACTCACGACAGAAAACCAATAAACTGGCAGAAGAACTAGTACAGCGATTCGAGTGAACATAGAGAAGAAGGAGGTGATGAAGATAATCAACCACCACCACCACCAACAACAACAACAACAGTGACAGACCCCAATCACTATCAATGGGGGAAATTTGAGAGATGTGACTTTCTCCACTTATATGGCTAGGCAGCATCCTTTCAACTACAGGCAGAGGCACGGATGAGGATGAAGCAAAACAGACATTCATCGCTCTTAAATTAGTTTGGAAATCTTTTGCTTCACTAAGTCAGCATAAGCAACAAAATTCGATTTTAAACAACAGTGTTAAGTAAGTAAGTCAATCAGTTCTTCTATTTGGGTCAGGAACTTCGCCATCCCGTCACCAAAATCATTTCTAACAGGCCAGTGCAGACTTTCATAAACATCTGCATTTGACCTCTCTACAGTGAAGATCGAATGGCTGACTGGTCAGAAAGAATTAGCAACAAGAAACTATGGCAATGAACGAACCAACAGGTGAGAATCGACCGCTGAACAAAAATGTCGAAGAGAATGGAGATGGATTGGATACACTCTGATATGGCCGTCGAATGACATCGCAGGTTTGGCCATCACTCGAATGGAACCCAACTGGGGAACGGTCACACATGAAAGATGAATACGGATAGTCAAAAATAATTTCGAAAATCTGAAGGTCTTAGGAAATCAACTTCAAAATGTGTTAAATTTAGGCTTCAAGAAAGTTTTGGGAATATCTCAGTAGGTCAACTCCTCATTTAAACGATCAACTCTTTGTATGAGGTTTCATCAAATTTCCTATGTGAAATGTAGCGAGTTCAAGATTAGATTTTATGGATAAATCAAATCAGGTGAATAAGAATTTTGATTGTATTGTTTTATTTTTCAGGTAGATTTAAATATTCTACTCGTATCTTGTGAGTAGTATATAAATAAACAGGTAAACTTTTTAATTTTTACTATATGCAAACGCCTACGTGTCTTGGAAAACGTACTATTTTTATTTGGGAAAAAGTCTAATAAAATCAGTAAGTGATAACACAATTTCATCAGAGAAAGGGTGTACACTAAGCACCAGATTATGATAATATGAGACGTTGCCGATGTTTTGCGCAGCCCCGAATAATCTTCCTTAAAACCCAAACCTACTTAGTCATGCGCAAATAAAGCGACATAAATACAATTAGCGTAAACCAAAACTTTTCTTCTCAAAACATTTTTATTCTTCGTATTTAATGTTGGTGAACACTGAATGCTTTGTTTATTCGGACTGTTTTCCATTTGGCGGGAGACAACAATGGCTTTCGTTGTTTAATCCTAAGCTAGTTGGTAGAGGACTGGAGATATAGGATCCGAAGTATTAGTGTGCATTTTAGAGAGATAGTGTTGAATGTTCGACTGCCCTCGTGATAACAGAGTATGCAAAAAGTCTTACTATGTCATCTTCTGTCGTGTTTAGAAGACGGTATTTTTGGTCTAAACATGACTCACCCTATCCAGCCCCCATCACACTTTCCGGGATTACGTAACCTGTATTCTCTGCTATATTCTTTCTAGTTAAACTTTGTTTCTACCCACAGAAAATCTGTTGAACTCTGTCCTTTTGTCTTTAAGCATATTCGACTGATTTTCCTCTATTAAGTCAGTCCTTTTCACTCTTAGTTGTCTAAAATCGTACAACTAACATTCCTGACTAATGGTAGTCTTAGTCTCCACTAATTTCTCCTTGTCATCGTGGAGAAAGTATGTTGAAATATTTGGTGTAAATTTATGTAGATTTTGTATTGTTCATGTTGTATGCAGCCAGTTGAGAAGAATCCTTGGAGTAATAATGAAGGCAATGAGCTCACATTATCTTAATACACGTACATTTGTCATTCTGGCCTTATTGAAATTTATTAATGGGACGAATTGTATGGTGATTTAAAGGGATTGAGAAAACTTTAGGCAAAATTAAGGATATGCAGCAATTTTCTAGTATGATTTGAGGGAAGCACATCCTAGTTATACTGATTTGCCCTTGAAATACAAACGCAATCTGATAAAGTGCTTGGTCCACCACAGAGTAAGAGTAATCTGCTCGAATGAATTTCCTGATGGAGAACTTAATAATATTAAACGGTTGCTGAGTGAAAACGGCTATCTAGAAAAGTTTATTGATAAGAATAGGAATCTAAAATCAAAGCAAGCCAAGGTACCAACAGTTCCTAAAAAGGTCTTATTGTTACAAATGCAGTTCCTTGAGGACAATATCAGTGGGATACTAACACAACACCTTAGAAATGCAGTAAAATGAGCATTCCCTGCTGCCGGATTACGCTGTATCTTCAAAACCACCCCTATTTTGCCTTCGGGAGTAAAAGACAAACTACCTAATTTCGACTCTTCCAGGTGTATCTACCATTTTAACTGCTCTTGTGAAGTGAGCCAGTTACATAGGCCGTACAATTACGCGTGTTTCTCGTCGGATTTCGTAAAAATCCCCTTACATGGTGCTTAAGTAAAGAACAAACAAAATATATTCACAGCGCTATTCTATCTCATCTTGTGGATACAGAACACAAGATTGACGTTAACCATGCTTTCAGGGTCATTTACCGCATACCTACGAATCTGAATTTTGCCTTAAGAGTTCGACTACTAAATATCGCTAAGGCTGTGGGGATCGATATTAACAAGCCTAATTTGTGCATCCAAAAGAAGTTAGTTCAGACATTATCCTTACCACCCCGGCCATCTAGGTTCGAATGATCCTCAATTTTCGTAGAATTTTCATAATTTTAGTTGATATTCCATTTGCTACTATATCTTTATTATTATTATAATTTAAGCATCTTTAATGAACTGTAATTCAACTGTGATCTTACTTAAAAAATAGATATTATTTGAAAAACACCAATATAGTTATTGACCACTATTCTAGAATATTCTATGTATATTAACATGTATATATAATTGTAGAGCCAGAAGAGGAATTTATCGAAAAGGATATTCTTTGCTCAATTATTTTGTGTTTTATAGATATCTGAATGAATATCTTAAAGACTATCTGAACACTGGTCAGCCTACTGCCTAACGCCTTCAAGAATACGACAATAACAAAAGTTATTTTAGGTTAGCCCCTTTCAAACGGTGATTATTCATTCCTTTTACATTCCGAGTAGAACACAGGCTTTCTTGATATTTCACTAGCGGTAGTGTTGTTTGTTTCTACGGTAGGATTTTATTAGTCTCACACCAAACCATCTTTCTGTTAATCAGACTTTCTGTTGACTAGTAAAGTAGGTGAGGTTCACGAATCCATCATCCAGGGAACTAGCCGGGACCTTGATGTGTGGTTAATGACCAACCTCTACTTTCACGATTTGTCAACTCTTGTATCTTACCTATTCTACTTTACTGCTCCCCGTTAGTTTTTCCTGGGTTACTGAAAAAGGACTATATCATCCTCAGAAGGATGTTGAAGGTAGCTAGTAGGACTAGTGGTGTACAACTCAGTCAGCTCGTCACTACATTAGTTGAAAGACATCTGAATACATGCGAAAAATGGTCTAAAACCATACTCTTCGACCCCAAACACCCACTTTATTCCCAACTCTCGCCTTGTATCTCATCAGGTAGAACCAGAAATCAGTGTAAAATAATATATGCTCGTACAACCAAGTACAGGAATTCAGCAATACCATATTTGGCCCATGTTCTGAGTGACATAGACAATGTTGAGAATGAAACGTATGACTTGCTTTGTTGTTATTTACATAATTTTAGGCTCTTTTATTTCTCTCTTATTTAGTATTCTATAGTAAACATACTTAGCTACCTAAATTATTAACATTGGCTTACTATTTTGTACTTTACTCTATTCCTTCTTTTGCGTATCTACTGGTTCCGACTATATCAGCACTATGAGTAGTACAAAATTTTCCTGTCATTAACCACCATGTAATCATTAATTTTTGTGGTTGTTTCCTCTAATTTTTTATTTTTTTTCGACAATATTAACTGACGATCATTGGTTGTGAACGCCATTATCACCGTCTTAAAATTTTGTATCATTCAGGATTACTCACACTACCACTACAAACACTGCATTAGACCTGACAATAAAAAAAAAAACAACAACCCTGAAATGTTATTTTATGATTGTTTAGAGTTTTTTCAACCTAAATTAACTGATCATCTTGGCGATAAACATTCTTAAATATCATTTCATAACTTCTTGTATGACTACAGCTTTACTGTCACCATGCATAATCACATCATAGCTTCCATTATCCAATACTAAGATATTATTATATGCTGTTTATTTTCCTTTCTACTTCTTGGTATTTTTTCGCATTTTTTAAAATTATTTTTGTGTTTTTCGTGTTTCCTTTTGTTGTTGTTGTCTTTATATTTATTTTTTTTGAAATACTCCTTTTAAATGTTTGATAAAATTAGATGCAAATATCGTAGATATGTGCTGAAAATTCCACACTGTACCACTAATACTGTTTCTGGAATAAAGCAAATTATTATTAATATTATTATTATTATTATTACAAACTGAACCACCAACTTATCAAAGTACCAAGATTTAATCATGTTTGTATACCCCTCACAAGAACAATCAACGTTATAAACGCAAGCCCAAAATAATAATTTAAAGATAATATATACAAATTATTTTACATATGATTACCTGTTTATCATTTTTGTACGTGACTATTGTATTCGTGGTAGTGGACGAAGGAGGAGAAGCAGAAGCAGAAGAAGGCACAGTAATTGTTGCATTATTTGTAGCTGAACTGCTATTTACACTATTCGTTATTGTAGTTGTTGGCAGTGTTACATTCGTTGTGTATATACACTTTTCTATTGATGTTTTCACTGCACCACTTGTTTCTGAATGTTGTCCTGATCGTTCAAAATCTCGAATAACAATGATGGATTTTGATGAAGTTGTTGAATCATTCCCTGATGATCCATAACCATCTGAACTGAGTTTTAAAAAAAAGATAAATTATCATTATCATTATTATGAACATAATTAGGATGATTAATATAATAATGGCTTTAAGTATTGGTTTGTAAAGATTTGATTGATTGGTTACAGGATTTCATCATGAGGTGACATTAGTTAGAGAATCATTGGAAAATCAGCAGGGAGTACTGGACATCTAGCTGTTTAGTCAGCCAAGTTTAGGACTCTTCATCAGTATGCACCCACCGGGGTTAGAACCCAGGACCTTCTGGTTACAAGGTGAACAAATGGGAAGTCATGACCAGTAGGGTGCAGTGGGTCAGGTGTGAGGACAATGACACTGGCGAGCGGTCGCGCTATATCGTGAATTGGCAGAAGTTAGAATTAACGGGTTGACCACTGGATCAGGTCCCAGTGGCTTAATGGTCTACGAGCTTGCTCGCCTTGTAACCAGAAAGTCTTGGGTTCGAACCCCGGTTGGTGCCTGCCGCTGAAAAGTTCAAAACTAGGCTGGCGAAACAACTGGCTAACCAGCACTCTAGTGCTGGATAATCTTAAATACTTCACCATTTTCTTTTAAACAAATCAGATGCATATTTTTTCTCAAGTAGTAAACTTAAAACAAAAATGATGTCGTATAAAATAGATGATTTAAGGCTTCTAATGTGTTATTCTGTCAAGTAAAATACTATTATTAGCAGATTGATTCATCTATTAGACACACGTTTTCGATGGAAAAAATGAAAATTACTATTATTATCTGATCTTTAGTTGATCAATTAATTAATTAATTTAGATATTTCTTGGCAATCCCTCTCTCTGTCTCTCTTTCGCATGCAAGTACACAAAATTTAAGTAGGTTCTTAACTTAGTTCTGTTCTCTGTCTGAGTTGGTTGATTTAATCGTGTGGCTTTCGTTGTCCTCCTTCTAGACAATATCTCTTCAGTGTACAGGTTTTAGAACTAAAGGAACCTACTTGAATTCTCCATAAAACGATAATATATATTATTTGTGTCTCCCTGCTGACAGCCATCACTGTGATGATTCTTTCCTAATTTACATCTGTACTGATCATTTCTGTCATTCACTTGGAATTCCAATTTTTCTTGTCATGTGATTCATTTTTTGGTTAGTTGGTATATTTGGTCTACAGAGGTAACGTGTTTGTTCATTGCTGTATCATTGGTGTACCAGGCTTCTAGAAATTTCCTGGCTTCATTTTTCGTGTTTCCTCTATTTAAGATTTCCGTGTTGTCCCGATCAAGTTCTTGTGCGTATATACCTAAATGTGTCGATATGAATTTGCGTTCTTGAAGCGGGACTTGAAGAGGATACCCACTCTGACCGATGTAATGTTTATTGCAGTGCATACAGTCTATTTCGTGTATCATGGTGTTTGTCGCATCATTTTTTTCTGCTGGATCTTCTGGTTTGCTTAATATCGAATAAAATGTATGTGCTGGCTGGCTTGTGTATTTCAAATTGTGTTAATATTCTTGGCGTTATTTCAGAGAGATACTGTTTATATATATGGTAGAGTGAATTTTCTAGTGGTCTTTGATGACGGCTTTTTGTTGGTAATACAACTTGAGTTTAAAGACTTTTTGATGAAAATGTGTATGGGTATTCATTCTTCTTGAAGACAATTAGTAGTAGGTATTTCTCTCCCATTCTTTTCAGCATCAGATTTCTCAGTGTGTTTGGATCTGTTGGTCTCAGTAAATTATCTATCATATATAAACATGCTTGATTTTATTGAAGAAGCCATCCCTCCATCATTTCATACTTTCACTATACTTTTTTCGGAAGGTAATCACCCCAAAATTATAGACATTTCTTCAGTCATTTTAGATACAATATTGATTCGATGCAAGTAAAGGCTATTTAGGTTTTTTTCGATAACGGAATCATTTACAAAACCCTGTAGGAATCGTAATACTATAGCAGTCAGTTAAGCTAATAAACCTAAACTTCGCTGGTAGGTGAGTTTGGTAAAGATGGAAGGCTGCATAAATATATTACCATCACAAGTATTGAGACTTCAAAGTTCAACCTTGAATCTCTATATCCTACAAGAAACTCAAATAGAAATGAAAAAGTATTGGTCGATTTCATCTACCTAAAATTCTGTTATGTGTCAAAATTTATTATGAAAACGAGATTCATTTGATTTTGAATATCATGGGTAGGAAATTGTTTAAGTGACTATTTCAGTATGCTATATATTTCAATATTCATGGATTAAATATGTTCATTCGCTCCATATTGAAGATCAAATGGCTAACCAGCCAGAAAGCATTAACAACAAGACACTCTGGTAGTGAATGAACGAACCAAGAACCTATTAGAAGAAAATGGAAATGGAATGGACACACGCTGAAGCGACCATTGAGTGACATCGAGCGTCATGCAATCACTCGAGTGGAAAGCGAGGAGTTAGGCGTGCTCTCGAGGTTGATATGGAAGAGATCATTCGATGAGGAGAAGGAGGGATGAGAGACTATAAGCAGTCGTCTAGGCAGCCTAAGAGAACCTCGGAGAATAGGACAAAATGGAGTTATGACGTTAAAGCTATATGGTTCACTAGGAATCCAAAGGAACAATAATAATAATAATAATAATCGATGTCAAGCGTGTAGCCCATTGGTATTGCCACTGGCTGGATCCTATTAGTCACTTTTCCAATTTTATCCATAAGCTAAGGGACTCATCATCATTATGGAGTTTAATTTGGCGTTAGGTGGATGGAAACGATTAACGAGGAGTATGAATTCTTACAATTTCAACATTACTTATTGTAAACAATGCAATGAAAGCTGTCTTCCTTCATTATATTATTCAAAACAGTTAATACACCAATAATGAGCAAGCAACACATCAAATTCTCTATATCATCCATGATAGTCGAACACTGTGAACTCAAAAATTATTTTCCAAGAGTTGATTTGTTTCTCAAGTCTGACCGCAGACTGATATCAGTTGAACCATTAGGTGGGGTCCCAGTGAGTCGCTGAATGCTATATGAGCTTGCCTTGCAACCCGAAGGTCCTGAGTTCTAAACCTGGTGGGTGCGTAGTGCCAAAAAGTCACAGCTGCTCAGTACTCCCTGGTTTTCAATGGTACTCTTACTGATATCAATCCGCGGTCAAACTTGAAAAATCAAAAAATACTGTGAACATTATAAACGACAGAAAATTTGTGCTATAATGACATTAAAAAACCTGTTTCGTGTTGTTATATCCACCTGGTTTCGAAGATGTTTTTGGTGATCACATTTAGCTATATAAGGATGTATAAACAACTTACTATGATTCATGTTTAAAATGAGTTTATTTATTAGAATTCTGATGAATGTTACTGTAGGCTCAGTAGAATAGCAAAGTTTGATCACAGATAGATATCAGTTAGAGAACCATTGGAAACTAGCACCCGAGTACTGGACAGCTTGTTCGTCCTAGTTTAAATGCTTGCTAGTGACTAGCTGAAGGACGAAGCTTCATGCAACTCCAGTGAGAAGTAATCATCAGTGGGGTTCACTAACCAGTCAGGAGTCAGGACAAATAATAGTCAGCCATGAAATTGGCTGATGCAAGTCACGCTGAAATAGCAAACCGGTAGAAGTTAGAATTCATGAACTGACAGACTGGGCATTGTGGAGCCGGATGGCAGTTGCTCACTTGTAATGGGGAGGTGATGTGTTGGAATTCTGACAGTGGTTTGGATGCGTAGTGGTAATGAGTGGCAAAATAGGCTGAAATAAAAGCTAGCTGTCTGGTAGTAATTGAATGGTGGTTTTCCATGGTTCTCTAACTGATTAATGCCAGTCTGTGATGAAACTTGAAAAACAGATGAAATCCCTAAAAAACGGAATAGGGTTTGCATGCATTTAATGTATTCATACAGTGGTTGATAGCTGAAGGAGAAATAAAAGTACCGAATGTACTAGAATTCACGCCGTTAACGATCGAATATCTCTTTCAGCACCTTACCAGCTGAAATTTGCACCAATGTTTCCTTGATCAGTATTTCCGTATCAATCATTACATCAGTAGCAGTCCGTTAACCGAAGGCTGTTTCAAATAGTCTCACCAATATATATGCATATATATATATCCATACACACAATCTTGGTAATGAATTAGCTGCACCTGGTGAACTTATGTAGACGAGAAAAAGAAGAAACGTATGTGCCTAAAGTAAATATCTACTATTCAGTATTGTGTCTGGCAAATAACCACTAAGTATTTAAGGGGATAGACTTATATACAGGAATGTGCCTATTAGATGGTTGGAGGAAATCGATAGGAAGTTTGGGACCTAGGTTTCAATGCTTATTGGCAATCGTCAGCTAGACATGTCTGAAACCCTTTGAAGCAACTCATGTTACTTCTGAGATCCGAATCCGTGTGTGTCACCCAGTGCTACAATCACAGTCAGAGACGTTGCCACGAAGCTGTTCGGGCTGGTGATTAGCCTCCTAAAGGACTGTGTTAGATACTTCGACTGGACACTAACTCCTTTATACATAAAATTTTATTCTGATAAAGTATCACACAGTGTTGTACAGTAATATTAACTGATAACGACGTTTCGAGCACAAACTATTGCCACTCATAATCATATCAAGCCAATCACACAAATTTCTTGCTTCATTTATATACATGAGTGGAATTGATGATTAGGCATTTGAATAAAATCAATATAGGATAATGCACATTCAGAAATAATAATATGAGTGTTATCAATCAAATACAATCAGATGGGAAATAAGATGCTATTTGCAGTAAAAATAAGTAACTTGTTAGAATTTTATAAAGCATGTGAATTGAAATACATTGTAACATTATTTATTATCCTCTGACTTGAGTGGTACTTTGTGTTGCAAGGTATTTTGTAAAAAAAATTAATTTACAAAATAACTTGAAATGATTGTGACTGAGGTCAACTACATAAGTTGAACTAGTAAATCGGCAGTAGTCACATTATCAGAACATAAAAATTCAGCTAATGTTAGAATGATTGATCCCATGAAGACAGATGAGTAATTTTTAAAAAGCTCAGCAATCGCACTGCATGCATTAACACACAACCACACAATAGGGTGGGAGGTAAAGAGTCAAAATTCTAAAAAGTAATATGAGTAGGTGGAGAGGTAGAGGTTGATTACTGAATCCTGGTTCATTGAGATGCAACACATGCAACAGAAATGACTCAATGCAAATACCAGAGATATGCATGGAAGATATTATTACCACCAGTCAGTCAAATCAGATGAGGATAATAAATAATCTCAAAATTCTATTCACATTCACATACATCATAACATTCTAAAAGGTTACCTATTTTGACTATAAATAAGCACTCGTCTTATTTTCCATCTGGTTGTATTTGATTGATAACACTCATATTATCATTTCTGAATGTACATTATCCCATATTGATTTTTATTTAAATATCTAGTCGTCAGTCTTTACTCATGTATATAAATGAAGCAAGAAAGTTGTGTGTGTGAGTGACTTGATATGATTATGATTGGTAATAATTTGTACTCGAAACGTCATCAATTAATATTACTGTATAACAACACTGTGTGATTTATCAGAATAAAATCTTATCCATAATGGAGTTAATCCTTAGTTTGCTTCTTAGGTGGCTTACCACACTGGTGTGCTATGAGTTGTTGTCAGATTGCAGTACTGGGTGATTAGGTTTCGAATCTTAGAAGGGATATAAATTCCTTCAAGATTGCAGACAAATCTAACCAGCTAACACGGTGACCATATTGTAAACGCGATTGTGACACAATTGAATCTCCACCAAACGAAGGACTAGAGGCATAAGATTGGTTACCACCTGGTGCCTAATCAATGTATATACATATTAACATAACAAAATTGTAACTACTTATAGGTATAATTAATGACTGGATGAATTATTCCTATTCTCTTGACCTCCTGAGTAAGTGATTCAGTGAGATGATTTTCAATTTATGTTCACGTAAGCTACTTATATAATATGCTATCGATAACAAAACAAACATAAAGTCCCTAATTCATGAATAGATATATATAATGGAATAAAAATATCCACTAAAACTTAACTTCTTAGAGAGACGGCCAATATAACTTGCTCCACCACAAGCGTAGTTGAACTGGTAGATACATTTGGAAGTGGCTAGCCAATCTAGGCACTTCATCTTTCGATTGAGGAATCACTATCGGTCGTGTAGAAAATAAGACTTGTAGTTTGCTAATATTAAAAGTTATTTAAAACGATTTTCTTAACTTCTTCGTATCTACCAATTCAAATGCGTTTGTGGTGGAGCAAGTTATATCGGCCGTTGGTCTAGGGAATTGATTTTTGGTGCTCGCTCGAGAACAACTACCAGTGTGTTGTGGTTAAATAAAGGTGTAGTAAAATCCATTAGCAGTTCGATATTAGGCGATCTGGTCTAGAGTAACCGGCCACAAAGCCAGCCAGCATTGAAGAGTCCTTCTCTATCGTCATCTATCGGGTACCAAAAAAATTACCAAAAACATTGAGTTACCGCATGCTCCAAACAGCAGGGGCCATCGCGATTCGCCAAAAAAACCGGTGCTTTGTGTGTAGAAGGAGCAAGTCCAGCTAGTCACTACTACTGCCCTGGCCGGCCTTCAGTGGAGACTATAAATTCATGAATTCGTATTATTATCTTTCTTAATTTTTCTGATATTCAGTGCACTGCAGTGTTATGTTGATGCTATTCATATTATTATTGATTGGTTCGATGTTATTCAAACAACATTATTGTTGTTCATAACACTAATTCATTCACTATTATGGATGCATATAACTGTAGAAGCTGATAATGAAGTTATCAAAAATAGTATTCTCTGTTGAGTAACACTTCTTTTTAAACATTAAAATTTTTGATTGGAATTCTCTTATGTCATCATGACTTTTATAGTGTTCAGAATGAAAATATCTTCGGAGATATTTGATGGAAATAATTAAAAAAGAAGGCTAAAAGGAATAATAACAAAGGGAAATAATACCCTAGTATTGGATTTAGTTGATTGGTTACAGGATTTCATCATGACCTGACATTAGTTATAGAACCATTGGAAAACCTGGGAAAACTGGGCAGCCGTTTCATCCTAGTTTGGAGCTCTTCAGTAGTGTGCACCCACCGGGGTTCAAACCAGGAACCTTCTGGTTACATGGCGAGCTCGTATACCATTAGGCCACTGGGACCCGATCCAATGGCCATTCCATGAATTCTAACTTCTGCCAATTCACGATATGGCGCAACAGGATTTTATCACCAGTGGACATCAGTGAGAGAAACATTGGAAAACCAACTGGGAGTACTGGAAAGATAGCTGCTTCAGAAGCCCATAGTGAAACTCCAACCCAAAACTTTCTGCTTACAAGGCGTGCTACTGAATTGGCAGAAGTCGGTATTCATGGACTGGCCATTGTATCGGGTCCCAGTAAGGTTATGGTCTACGAGCTTGCTAGCCTTGTAACCGGAAGGTCGTGGATCATAATGCTGGTTGTAGGTTGGATGCGTACTACCGAAGAGTCCAAAACTAGACTAACGATTCAGCTGGCTTTCTAGTTTTCTAGTGTTTGGTTTTCCAATGATTCACTAACCGATTTCAGCTCAGGATGAAATCCCGTAACAAAGAATATCAAATATGAGTGGTAGAAAAGGCGTAAATTAGAACAAAAAAATTCAGAAATACTGGACAAACAGTAATGTACGCTTTGTGGTGAGAGCTGACCGCGAACAAGCCAAAATTGTAGACAACAATTTACCTCTTGGATTGGGGCCATGAGATAAAACAATAACAAGGCTTAACCTTGAGGAACTCAACAGCCAATCACATCAGAATTAACGTGTGCAAATACAATTCGCAGATATATGGCTTAACTTTCTAAGAAACGGTCGGTCACAAGCAATACAGAATAACCTTCAGCAAGAAAACAACCAATCAGAAGACACTGCTTCTCTGCTAACAATAATGTACATAAAAATCTATAAATATCTGTTGATTTTCTCAATAAAGGATCTGTTGTCTGGCCCTTCTCTTCTGTCGTTACATCTTCGGTGAATATAAATCAGAGTATACACATACATTCTCGACCGATAGCTGCTACCTTGACGTGGTGGTCGGGCTTGCACATCGCTATGACCCAACGAGCTACACTGGCTGGAACTTATGTTCCTGTAGGTCCTACCATGGCAGAAAGGTTGTTTGGATAGCAGTTAGACAAAAAGCAGCTACCCAATCCAATACTATGACTCAAAAAAACTCACAAAATATCACGCCG